TTAGTTGCGGGCTGAACAGGATTAACATTTATTGGACAGTCTAGTGCTGACAAGGCTTTAACCAGAATTACTGATTTTGAACAGAGTGCAACGACATTTTTTCTCAATCAAATAAATCGAAAAAATGTATCTAAAAATAATATCATCGAGCAAAATTTGTAGACTCTCCAGTGTAGACTTTTATTTGAAGACAACCAGATTGGAAGCTAAGCTTCGGTGGGGAACAAAATGATGCAGCGGGCTGCATTTGGCACACGGGCCATGAGTCTTTTTCCACAGACACTCCCAAATTCCAAAACGAAAGGTAATGTGTCCAGTTAGGACTCATTCAGATCCGACTTGTGTTACAGTCTACGACCGAGATAAGGGCCTTGAACCTCAGGTTCTTTCAGTTCAGTGTATTTATGGTGTTTCTGTCCTGAACTCCCTGCTTTTCCTCCTGTTCCTCAGTTCGTCCTGATTACCTGATTGCCAATCTCGACTGGCCTGCTCTTCATCAACACACCAGCTGTGCAGTAGATGTCACTCAGTCTTTACCAGAGTATTTCTTCAGCCGCTGTGGAGTCGAACCATCTAAGATGCTTCAGTTGTTTGTTCTGGCCCTTAATTACTTTGAGCCTCAGCTTCATGCCACAAAACACTTCTCTATAACTAGTTCATCACTGACTTCTCTAATCTCTCATCATCAGCCTCCCTGCTGGTCACTCATCTGTCTGCATTCCCTGCACACCTCATCCCAACAACTGTTAGTCCTGCCTTGCTGTCATTTCCTAGCTGCCATCCTGTCTTCCTGTCACACAAAAAAAGTTACCAACGCTATAAATGCAGTTCGTGTACACAGCTGCAAAATCGCACGTACGCCTAAAAACATATTTATGATCAAATCGGTGTAATGTGAGATGTGGCCGCCTGTATCTTAGTCATCCTGAGATGAAGACATGCGCGGTGCTAAATCATGTTTCCCTCCCTTTAGTCTCTTCAGTCAGACCCCGGGGTGAATTTGAGCCCACTGAGCTTTCCAGGGCCCACAGTTGGTGATCTAGATTTACAAGCTGATACATATGGCATCACTCAATAATTGATAGGGTGAAGGATGGAGTAATTGGGACTTTTTCTGTGATCCAACATAAGGTTTAAGGGGTCAGAAGGGCGTGGAGTTCACGTTTGATATGAACAGATTTTGCACAGTGAATACACAATAATGTGCTTTTAAATGGATGAAATTGACATTTGGGGGAAATGGGGAGAAACATGCACCGGAAACTGGCCTCACACTGAGGTAAGTTTCCTCCTCATGTACGTGAGAGGGTCTGGAACCAGCTGAGAGCAGCTGAAAGTGAATTACAAACCATTATCCTTCGTGTTAAAGCAGTTACAGTTGAAACCTGAGAGCTCTAACCACAGGGAGAGAGAGGGAGAGAAGAGGGGAGGAGGAACAGTGACAGAAAAGATCAGGGGGAAAAAATCCTCAAATTTGGACAGAAAATGGAAAATATGGTGATGGAGAGAGAACAGAGTATCGACCTTTGACATTTCTATTCCGATTCCACCCTAAGGTGATGGTCAGCCTTTTAGGATTATGTTTTGATGTTTTTTTTATCTGTTTTCGACCCCCTGCTACTCACCCCTTTCCATTCTATTCTATTCTCATCTCCCATCGCCTCACTTCAGCACTCCGTCATCTCACCGCCTGATCTCCCCCCCCCTCCAGTCCATTTTAGCAGTGTAACAAGTTCTGTCTCTTTCTTGGAAAGATGACATCACATTATTCGCAGTGTTTAATCAGATGTCATTATCATTTCGCAAAATCAGTGTCGGGGAGTGTGTCGAGTCTTGACAGGAACAAAGGATAGAACCCCGTGGGGACTCATCTCACAGCTTCCTGGAGAAATTAAAAAAAGAACACAAGAAGTGAGGTGAATGTGACAGAGCATGCCAAATGTGTGTGTGTGTTTGTGTGTGTGTGTATCTGAGCGATTTAGAGGCCACAGCTGTCTGAAAACAGGGTTCAAGGAGTTAAAGGAAAGGTGAGGGTGAAAGAGAAGAGCAATTATGAAAAGGATGACAAGGAAAATGAAAAGAACAAGTGGAGTCAAGGTCTCAGGACGGTGAGTGAAAGAGTGCAGACTGACTGCTGGACAGTCTGTGATTGTCCCCGTTTCCAGGTGTCTCCTGTTTGAAACCAAATATTTTCATCTGTGAGCTCCATTAACGAGAAGGTTTTGAAGTCAGGGCAGTGAATGGAGCAGCGGTGAAAACCAGAGACGACTTCAATGCTTCGTTTAAAGTCCGTTACAACATGCAGCCATTCTAACGGTGGCGTTAGCGCACAGAGTCTAACTATTTATTCAGTCCATCCTTACCCCTGCTGTGCCAGTCGTGCTTTTACTTGACTGTAATCAAAACAGCCCCAGCACGCACTCGGCTGGCCTTACATTCACATACATGTACGCATGCAACATGCTCAAGGCTAACATCAGAGGGAATTCTCTGCATGAGCTCGACAGGTTGTCTACTGTAGGCTGATTTCACCATGGTAACCTCATTGTGTTTCGGCACGATCTCAAACAGTCGTCATGTCACTTACATGTTGTGTTATCCCGTGTAAAATGATGCTCACAACAATTTAATTTATTTTCTTTTTTTCGGCAGCAACAGCGAAAGCGTCGTATGATTTTATGTACAAACTAATGAGCAAGGTTAATTAGTGTTATGTAAATTGTATCTGTGTTGCGTTTTTCAAAATGATTTAAAATGAAAAGGGAATGAAAATATGGTAAATTCTACCTTCTGTAAAAAAAATAAATTGTGTCAACGCCTCGGGCTAAAGGCCTCACTATACGAGTTCTCATGCATTTATGCAGCACAATGCATATAAAGCATTACTTTGACAGCGGCTCTCCTCTGGTGTTGAAAGCTGACAGTGAAAGATGACAGGAAATGTGAAGACAGAACAGCTAGGAGACACTGTTCACTGCAAAAGGTTGAAATTATTATCTCAGAATTGTGTGTTTAAGATGCTGAAATGTGTCCATGTTGCAACATGACGACAGTGTAGCAGCATGAAGGCTGTGAACAACAAGTTCATTTACTTAAATAAGACACAGTCACTCATGTGATGAAGATTAACAATTCATTACACACATTAGTGATTATTCACAAATGCATGCACACACAGTTCCATATTAATTTATACTTTCTCTAGCTTTCATTTCATTAGGATTCGGTTGAGGTTTACATTATTTGCTGCGGGATATCAATTAAATTTGTATCAACTCAATTTTCTGTCTTTGTCTTTGGGCTGTTTTACTCCCTTCTGCCTGTTCCTGTTGATATTTCTTTTTCCTTTTTGGTTTGAGAAGACCTATATGCATTTTGTTCGTTCTGCCCTTTTGGAATGGTAGCTGCAGCATCGACACTGCCCTTTTCTATTTTCGTGATGGCAATATATTTAAAGAAAAATGATTTAATGTGACTAAGTATTATCCTTATACTCATACTAACCTTTATTCCAAGTGTCAGTTAAGTCCACTCTCCTATAGACTTCTATTAAAAAAAGAAAATAAATCCCTCTTGTAGCAAAAAGGCTCCTTCACAGGCTTCACTTTCGATTCCATTTATTCCCTTTACAGCTTACAGTCTTCTGGTGACTCTGCATTGGTTTCCATTAATTCCTCAACCAGTAATCAAATGATGACACTAACCTCATTATCTTACTCTCCTCCACTATCGCCATGTTATTATAATTAATTGGGAACCATGAGGACTTCTAATCTAACCAAATAATTGAAAATTCAGGAATGGTCCTTTACAAGTAACGACAAAAAGTACATAACACTTTCAAAACACAAACTCATCCACTTCAGCAGCTGATTTCTGTGACAAAACCGATCTGTTTTAGCATCAAACTCTCTTATTACCTGCGCCAACAACTCAGTCACAGCCGAGAATGAAATGCAGCGAGAAAGATCGCAGCTGAAGAACAGATGCAATAATGACAAATGAGAGATGTGTGATTTTTTTTCTTTTTTTTTTTTTGCAGACTTGTGCATGTGTGATTGTGTTTATTGAGGTGTGTGAGACGCAAAGCAGGTGGTTAGGAGAGAAGAGGAGAATGAGCTGTTTAGCTTGATTTACCTCAGAATGAATTACGTGGCATGATCAATGATAGAATGTGTGTAAGCAGAAGGCAAGAAGAAGGAGGAAAAACGTCTCAGCACTCAGAGAAAAAGCGAGATGAGGGGATGTGACCAGCACAAAATGATGTGGAAAAAGAACATTAAATAGCCATATCTTTTTTAAATATTTTTTCCATATCCTTAAAAAGCTCAGACTCCATTTTGTTCACTCTAATGTTTCGTCTTTTGGACCATATCCACAGAAACAGTGAAACCTGGAATCTGTATCAAATGAAGTGGACCTGAGCAGACCACTTCACCACCGCGGAGGCAGAAAAATCCGATAACATACGATGAAGGTAAAAGAACATGACACCCGGGAAATTGTTTGGCATTTGGATCTACTTCAAGTACAAAGGGAAAGCCTGAAAACAAGACATGAAAAAAGTGAAAAATAATATATATATATATATGTATATATATATATATACTGTTAGTGCCAAAAGCCTGTCAAGACCATTTTTAAAGGTTTGTTTGTGCTAAGCTAACATCCCTGTATCCATCTCCACTGTTTTCACTGGACAATTGTAATTTGCTGAGAAATCACTTAATGATGTCATCACTTTGATTAAAATAATTCAACATTTCCATGTAATTGCAATGATGAATAACATAGCTAGCATTAACTTTGACTTGCAAAAGTGATGCAAATGGGACACCAGTGCAGGGGTGCCCAATAAGATCACAAAGTGCTGTTGGATCATCAGCAATTTTAATAAATTAAAAAAAAAAGAATAAAATTAAAAATGAAATTTTCGGATTCTATTTAGATGAAATCTCTAGGACTAAATTAGTAATAGTATTGAATCATTCTGAGCCATGCAGCTAAATACTCGCCAAATTCGGGAGAATTGGGAATAACTTCTTATTTTTTACTGTATTTTTGTTGATGATACATTAAAAAAAATAGTTGTTTTTGCCATGTTGTACAAACATTTGACGTGGTGCAACACTGTTGTCCTTTCCAGTGCTCGTTGTGTTACTCAGATCACTTACAGTGTGTAATTACATGGATGCACTCATTACGACACACACACTCATTCATCAGTCTATATTGTTTTGATATCCTATAAGAGCCCACGGATCCTCTTAACTCGCCCCCGCGGAATCAATGTAAACACAAAGGCGCCATTAAAACAGGATCAGTCGGAGTGTAAGAGCGCCATTGTTGGTTCATTATGAAGCAGTGCAATAAAACACATCTTGGAGGGATTACTGCTAATCTGTACTTGCAGCGCATATCATCCCGTGATGCGCATGTAATCGACAGAGTCTGGCGTTTTCATAGTGTTCACGCAGGGGAAATATGTTCACACTAAAAATATTGAACGTACCCTCTTTAAACAGAGACAATGTAATTTATTAATTATAATTCTAATGGTATCCCTCCAGTGCTGCAGCCATCGTGGCCCCACAGGTGCTAGAGTGAATGTTTTTGGCAGCCCTCTAGGTGGCGCTGGTCTATATTTACTGTTTCCAACTATACTGTTGACAGAAAACTGAAAATATAATCGTTATCATGCATATTAGTCAGAATGGGAACTTATACTGTAGTAAATTAAATTTGATGGAAGATAAAAAATAGTAGCAGTGGTTTTGCACCATGAAAAAAACACAACTTCAGTTCAACAGTAACATTCACAACCAGGCCAAATAATGGAGATAATCATAAGTTGAACCAACTTTGTAACTAGTTTTTAGGACCTTGCACTGATGGGATTGTTCATGCATTGGCTCTCATTGTTCTGGTGATTGCCTGGCTTTGGCCAGAGCTCAGTGAATGCCAGAACAAATTCTACACATTTAATTGGCCATCAGCAGCTAAAACCAACAGTGACAGAGACCAGATTGGCCTAATGGACTTGAAATGGCCTTTCACTGACTGACGCCTTTCTGTGCCACCGTAGTTTTCTGTTAAGAAAAAAACTTAAAACTTCATGTAAAAAATGATCTTGGATATATTGGTATTTGTCAGTCTTGTGTTTCTAATAATAATATATGGATGGAGAGGTGTGTGCAGGAGAGTGCATATGGGAGTGTGTGTGAGTTCTGGTCAGGTGGTCCATGCTGCTGTCTAATTATCTTGATGTGATGGATGGCTTCAATTACATTATATGAAGGCTGTGGCAGCTATCTGACAACTCCTCCCATGTCCTTCCTTTTTTCCCCTCTTTCACTCCTATAGATAGATAGATGGATAGATAGATAGCAATGAATGTTTGTTCCTGCATTTGTTCTTGCATGGAAATTAGTTTTCAGACCAGTCCGGCTTTGAACATTGATAAAATATGTCAATAAATCAACAGTAGGTAGAGTGACGGAGAGAAAGACAGAGGGAGAGAGACAGAGTGACTTATGAGGTGCCGTGACATTGATTAACTTAGACAGAAAAACAATGAAGCACAAATACAAAGAGCTGTATGTAATCAGACAGAATGCAATAGCCCTTTTTTTTTTTTTTGAATAATTAATTTTATCTTTCCATCCTTCTTCTAGAACATCATTCTGTTTAGGGCAAGGGAGCTGAAGTCAATCACATCAGTCATGTGGATATCAGGTTAATTAGACAAATGGTCACACCTGTGGCTGCATGTTTGGCAGGAATAAAACCCACCAAACAAGGTGAACATGCAAGCTTTGCCTGGTGGTCTTTATTTTACTGTAGTATTAGTATAATTTTTTAACTTTAAATCACCTTATAATACAGAAAATAAATCCCAGATTTATATAAATATACATATATTTTAATAAATTATAGTTAATTCATAATCCATATTAGATTACTTTCTGAATAACTGATTAACAATTTGCTAATACTGCAGACAAACTAAAAAAGCAACTAAATCAAATTCATTCATTCCAACTGTATGCTACTGCTACGGAGAAAATCATTCCCACATTAATTCTCTTATCTACGGCTGCTGACGAGCCGCATGAGAGAAAATCGTAAAAAAAAAAACTGACAACCCGGTTGCCTCCAGCCTACGTGCTCTGTGCTTCTTCCCACGGATGCAACCTCAACTGCACACGTTCTGATACGCTCCATGATGAGCAACGTTGTGTTTCAGTCCCAGAAAAGCTGCACTTTGAAGTTTGACTCTCCAAGAAAGCACATGATGAAAGCAGACAGACTTAGAGGAGCACAGATGGGTCCTGTGTACACACAACTCTGTATGTACACAATTGTAAGGGCGTAAAGTCCTATATTCACAGCCTCAGACCGAGCCTTCACTTACTGAAGGGAGGAAAAAAGGGAGGGGTGTCTTCATTTTTTGGAAAATTACACCTCACATGACACACTTTGACGCCCTAGAACTGTACCCCCGAGATTCTAGGTTATTTATTTTGAAATTCTACTTGATGGAAATTTAAAAAAAAAAAGAAGAAGAAATTAAATGACATAAAAGCGTAACCTCAGTCTGAAAATAGTTTGCCAAAAAAAAAAGTGAATACATTACTCTGCTGCACAGTGGGATAGTGGTAAGAACCTTTGTCATACAGCGATGAGGTCAGTCTTAGCTCTCTGTGGGAACTCCTGTTTCCCCCCACAGCTTTACCGTACGCAGAATGGGATGAGGTTAATTGGGGACTGGAACCTGACCACATGCGAAGATGTAAATGTGAGTGTTAATGTCTGTCTGCCTCCACATGTGGCACTGGGATGTACTTCACCTACAGACCAACGTCAGCTCAGGCTGTCTCCGAGCCCCAATTATTTTTGACGTACTACCACAGACAACAATAAAGACAAACCCAGAAAAAAAAGCAAGTGTTATTTTCAAGACATTAAAACCTAGTAGTGTGATGTACATGGTTGCCTTTTTACTTCTGTCTAAAACAGAGGATGCTTAACACCACAGCAAGGCAGACAGGACTCAAACCATCAACAATTCCAAAATGCGTTCAGCATTTGAACAAAAAGCTGATGGCCCTGGCAAATACTATAGGCTGGAACTGGCACTGCTATTGTCATTGGCATCAATTTACCATTGTACCCACTGTACCTGACAAGTGATTGAAATAATCCTGTCTAGATTTATCTGGAATATCTTGTTATATACCACTAATCTGCATGCAACCATGGCAACCAACCCTCTTTGTATATCTCACTGGTAAGATGACGCAAAAACGATGTATTGTGAATGGCTTGGGTGACAGAAATTTCTCCTTTTGTCATCTCCGCCTCAACAATTATTTTATATCTGGACTCACTGTCAACTGCTGTTGTCAGGACGGCACATTGTTGTCAGGGGTAAATTACAGTTTCTGGCCTGACAGCAACAGCCATTACACATCAACGTAGCGACTGTGTTAAACAATAGCTTTGATAGCAGAGGTTTTCTGCACATGGATCTGTTGATATTTTTTTCACCCAATGAAGCTCGGTCTTCTTAAAAGTAAACTTTAAAACCAACATACAGTATACTGTATGTATATTTATGTGCATATTTGAGTTGCTAATTGGATGCTTTCTGCATCACAGACCTGGCAACCATGCTTAACATTTTTTAAAATACTATTCGTATACACCCTCATACGCTCCTACTGTCCGTTTTAAGTAAGACATTGTAAAAAAAAAACCACCAGCATGACCAGGTGTTTGTAAAGGAAGTCACGTACGTCCTCCTGTCACTAGTGTGCGGTAAAGTCCGTACCACACCAGCCTGCTGTCTAAACCCTCAGATGTAGGAGCTTACTTATTCAAGGACAGAGCTGATGAGAGGGGCAAGAACCTGGTTCTACGCTTCTTGAAAAGGTCAGTCAGAAAGAAAGACGCTGCTGTGGGCAGTTGTCCCCTTGCTAAAGAAAAGACACATCTGTTGGAGTGTCAAGACTTAGGGGTCAAGGCCTGAACAAACACATGATGCTGCTTCATTATAATGATGCTCCACCTGTCATATCTCCATTCTCACCCCGCACTTTGATAAGCAGTGATTTTGATCTAATTGTTTAAAAAGTGGTGGATTTTATACAGACTAGAGCAAATGAAATGAAGTGCCATTTGCTAAAACTTTGCTGTCCACAATAAAAAAAAATACTTTTAGTCAAAACTCCAGAGCACTTTGGATTGTGTCACATCTGTGACGACTAAAGGCTACAAGACAATTTACTCAACCTACTGACGAGCCAATAGACTAAAGCTGAGTCATCAAGGTCAATCAAGGACAATTGATTACAGGTGTTCAAAAAGGTGACTGCAGAAGGTTGTGGGTCAGTTACTGTACATGGTTTAAACCAAATAAATGATGTAGATAGATAGATTCAACCAAAGCCCACGAGAACTGAGAACTGACATCACTGTGAAAAATAAAAACAAAGGTTGGAGTGGAGGAGGAGAGAGGAGGAGAGCACTAACAAAAGTAGTACAACCTTAGAACAGTCGAATGAGGCAATCCTTACCTGTCACTTCCTCTTTACCACCGTGTCACACTCACACTCCATCTGATTTCCTCTCCTGTCTTTGTCCATCACAATCTGGGGACATTCACCAGGCGATAAGGCCAACATTGTCACTTTGGCACTATTTTAAGGCAAACTGTGACCTTTGGAAGAGACCGTGCTCCCGCTCCACACGTTCAAGGTACAAGTCACGCTGCTGTTCATCCACGAGTGTTGACTTGAAAAACAAAGCGTGGATAGTAATTCGGTGCTGTTTTAAACGTGCGAGCAAGGATGCTGTGAGGTGATGGGCTGCGAATACGGAATGTAAATGGAAGCCTCTGATCCCCACTTCGCAGACGTGGGTTAATCCTTAAGAGGTTCCACTGGGGACACTTACAAGCTCCTCTGGGGAATGGATTTCAAGGGCACACAAGGCACAAGTGGGATTAATATGTAGAGGTGTGTGTGATAAGTGGCTGCAGCATTTACATGTGAGTGCATTCGTGTGTTTGTGTGGGTGCAGGTAAAGTTGCTCTCTTACCACAGCTTCATCAGGAAATGCTGCTCCATCACTTCAGGTAGAAACTGCCAATTATAAATTCTGCAAAAAGGAGAGAAAAGAAAATATAGGGAACAATTTTAGGTCAGCTTTAAAAAAAAGAATTAGAACCTTAGAATACCTTCATCCTATCATACTTAATAAAAAAACATTTATTCCTGTTTTTTTTTTTTTAATTGTTCCTCTCTAACCTTCCTCATGAGACCTGACCTGTAACTGGGTTCCTGAAGATGCACCGCAGTGGAACATGTGAAAGTGTGTCTGCTGGTCCCTAAAGAAGAGCATCCCTTGAAGCACAAGGCCCTGCAGCCACAAAGAGAGTGAGCGCAGGCAGAGAACAAATTTAGCAATGGAACTGAAGCATTGGGTAAAAAGAAGGTCTGTTGGAGGAGGATGAAAAAGCTCGGGATGGCACCAGTTTAATTAAGTAAAGTCTGTGCTAAATTAGTGCATTTTCACTGGTTAAAACTGGTCTTATTTTAGGAGCTAATAAAATACTTTCCCATCAGTCTCGACAACAGTCTTTTTTCTTGCCGTCATTCTATGACTCATTATCACTAACACACCCCATCAGTGTGTGTTTGAGGCTGTATGATGCCGTCGGCTAATTTACAGACTACATTCACTGTTTGAACACGTGACAAATGACAGACACAATGATGGGACTCTTTCCTGCATTTCCCAGATGCCCAAACTACAGTTTGATGTTCATCAGCGGGATCACCTGGTAATCATATTTGTCCACGTCCTGTGGCTTTGTGACAGGAGCCAGAAGGGCTGCGTCTACAAGTTTTTCCAAAGGGTTTGTAAAATGCTCCGTGTGTCACAGGACGCTGTTTTGTTGGCTAATCTGACGCGGCCGTCTTTCGTCAAGCAGAGAGCGACAGATGCTCTCAGAGGCACCCATTGATTTGCTAGAGAAGTGTCTATGCAAGTGTGTGTGTGTTCGCGTTGGTGATGGTGGGTGGGGTGCAATGTGTCGCCAGCTCGCTGCAGAGATAATTAGAACACAACTCTTTTGCTGTCCCTGCAGGACACTGATCCAGCTGCTTTCATCTAATATAGGTCAGCTGTGACACAGCCCTGAGCGTGGACACCGATCGGCACGGCTCGGCGTTCTCATATGTAATCTATGCCATCGTATGAACATGTGATCCTCCTTCTAATCTGTGCTTTGCTACAGTATGTATGTAGCTAGAGTGCACACAGAGACCTATGCAGGTGTACACATTACTGCCTGTGGATAAATGATCACAGTCGGTGTGACAAAAAAATAAAAAGAAACAGACCCTCTCTACATCTGTCATCTGCAGTGTTAATATTTAATTATGAGTCAGCTCTCTGACACAGAGACATAATGCTGGTCAGAATCAAAGCATATTCACTCACCTCATTATAAAAACAGTGCCAGAGTGGAACGTGGCTTAATGTTATACACTATGCGCAGATAAAATTCACATCAGGACACTTTAGGACAACATCACACAAATGTGATGTTTGTTTTGACTTATTATAGAGTTGGAAATATTTAAATAAATATATGAGTCTGTAGACATCAGTGAACATGACAGAGGCTTCTTGCAAGTTTGGGAGAAGGGTCACGCCTTACTAAAAATACAGCTTTGTTCCTGAGTAGTGGTGTCTTAATACCGAAAACCACCTGTGTCACACTGATACCACTGAGTCTGTTAGGAAGTAAATCCATTCTTCAGCACAACAATGACCCTGACCATACAGGAAAACGGCGTGGAAAACAGCCTTCAATGTGGAGAAGAACAAAAAGTCCTGGGTGTGATCTGAAGGCTCAAACACAGCTTTGATCTGAACATCAAGTTTATCTGGGATTACTTGAACAGACAGAAGGCTGTGAGCCAGATTAAAACCACTGAAGAAGTGCGCTCAGTTCCCCCGAGATGTGTGAAACAACTCTGCTGTTTAAGTGCGTGCCAGCGTACCTGGGAGACCTGATGATTTTGGAGGCACTGGGTGGTCACACAAATATTGATTCACTTCACAACTGTTCCTGCGCTTGACATTTTGTGAAAAATATAAAAAGGAAATATTTTACTTCTTTTACACTCTTGAGAATTTTTGTTAACAAATGGACAGACAAGAGACAAAGAGCAAAAAAAAGTTGTTTCAATTATTTTTGTTACTATTCATTCTCCAACACACCTGAGAGAACAACAATTCCAAACATTCTGTTCTTCACAACAACTTAAGATTTTGAAGCTTTTCTCTTCTCAACTTCTAACATTTCAGTGCTGTGAAAGTACCATGGTTAAAGGTAAATCCTAAATATATATTTTCAATGCTGTAACGTTTCCTGCTCCATTCTCTGTTTTATTTTTTCTGACCAATTGTACTAATGAACCTCTGAACCACAAACCAGTAGGACGTTTTGTGTATTGTACCACGGCGCCCCCTCACTTATGATGCAACACATTAGAAATGAAAGTCCTAAGTAAACAGAACGCGGCTCAGCCTTCGGGACGGATGGATTGGGAGGCCAGGTCCGTGTCGCAGTGCGGAGGATCCATGCCTCTTCCAAACTCTAATCACCTCTTTCCATCGCCATTCAGACTCCATTGGTTTTTTTTCTTTTCCATTTTCGCATGCCTGGAATGTGCAAAGCTAGCAAGTGAGGTCACGCAGGGCTTTAAACAACTGCGGCTATTTATGCAAATATAATCAATATTTAATAGTCCCTTTCTCCACTGCCGTAATCTCTCTTGACCCCCCTCACCCTCCACATCTCTCTCCCTAACAAGAGGCTGCAGCAGGGGCATTAATTAGGACCAGACATGTGCCAAAGATTCCCCATTGGGCAGCAAGGCCAGTTCATACCACGCCAGGACTGGACAGGTCTGGCTTTGACTAGTGTAATCCAGGAACAGTGGCCGACCACAGAGACGTCCTTTGTCACAGAGCAATCTATGGTCAATACAGTCCACAGATGTTCTAAAGCCAGTTAATTGTATTAGCGAGGCTTTGGATAGACTTACCTTTGTACTCCGAGACACAATGTAAACACAATCTATGGACATTAGGGTCAAACCCGATATTCATATCATGCTAGAAAGTACAGGACAAAGTACCTGAGATTTTTTCACGTTTTACGCTAAGAGTACATTCATCGTAGTACACAGTGAAGTCCATTTCTTTGACACAGACCTAAAGTGTCATGACTATCACCCAGTCGCACAGTAGCACTAATGCTAAAAACATATGTAAGAGATCCCGTACACTGTAAAGGCCAGGAGCAACCTGTCTGTTGGACGGAGCACGATTAAGCTGCAAGTTAGATGACAAGGCTTCAGAGACTGTTTGGGTCAGGATTTTTTCTCGCCAAATGAAGCGGGAGGAAAAAGAGATGACGAGAGCAGAGAGCAAGGACAGAAGCAATCCTGGCTTTTCCCCGGTGGTCTATTAAAGCAGATGCACACGGCAGTTGGGTGACAAAAGGCAATAAAAGAAAGATCCTTGGGAGGAAAAGTTAGAGGGATAATGCTACGACAGTAAACTCTGATGGAAGTATAGTTGTTATGAGCAGAAAAGCGTTTTGATGCATTTCACTGGAACTGCTGCGGTTCGTAAATTTTGTAGCATTTGCTCACGGCTCTGAAAGTTTGTGCCTCAAGTGCAAATGCATCTGCAGCGCTGACCTTTGAGAGAACCCGAGTTGGAAAAAAATAAAAGATTACAATTACTGCTGGGTTTCACCTCGCCATTGTTCGTACACTCGTATTGCTGGGGTATTAAAATGCTCTGTGGAATGGTCAATTATTTTTCATTGAACTCCTGGAGTGGTCATAACAATGTGTCACTTTGAAATGTATCAACAATGGAAGCAATTTTCATGTGAAAATATGACATGCGATTGGCATCAAACAAAGAGATGATGATATTCGCACTCATCTTTTATTATTTATTCATTTATTTGGACATTGTATTGCAGTTTAGATTATTAATGCAGTACAAGGTCTAAAGTTTAGGATTATTTTTTTTTTTCTATTAAAACTATTAAAACTGAGCTCTTGACTTTCATTTTTATTAACCTTTTATAGAATAGTGAAGCATATTCATTATAGTCAAAGGGTTGAGGATTATGCTTTAAAAATATATGTAAAAAGATACACATGTGCAGTATCTATATACATTACATACATATTTATACTAGGTATATTATATATAGAGAGATTTATATACATACTGTATTAAAAATATAATTAATAAATGTATTTAATAAAAGGTAAAACTAAAACTAAAAATATATGAATCTAGTTTTCTCTCATTCAACTACACACAAACACACGCCCTGTGCTTTCCATTTTGTTCACATGTGGGTGTCAAAAAGACGAGCGGCTGTAGAAGATCGACTAATCTGGGTAAATAAATCACAAGTCTTCTGGAGATTAGCTGGTCTGTGTGATGTCCATATATTTTTTATGTGTATGTGAGACGATTCCCAGGTCACACAGGGTGAAGTGATGACCCTCAATTGGCTGAAGATACTTGCACCACACCACAGCACCTGAGTTCATCTCCAGTGCAGGGCCTAATCAGATGGGGCAGTTCAGCATGACCGGGTGGACAAATCCTTGTTCTGTTTTGCAACAGAAATGCCTCGTTTGCCATTGCATGTGGTGCACAACGTTTTCCAGTGCACATCTCCTGACTCTTTAACGCTCTCTGCATGACGACACTGACGGCCTTCCACACATCGTGTCTCAATATGCCGACCACACCTCGCCATTCAGTTCACACACAGGGAGCAGCAGGACAAAGAGCCTGCCTGCACTGTGAGCGGACACACACATGCGGTCTGCTCTGACGGTGATGAAGGAACCAGCTCCAGCCTGGCCTGCCAGACACACTGCACATTCAGGTGAGGTGCTCGAATTACAGTGATCTTAAGCCGGGACCGAGCTGCACACAGGAATCAGAGGCATGAGACATGAAAAGGAGAGAAAGCTATACAGGCAAGGGAAGAGCTGGACGAGAGGGAGAGGCTGACACAGATCAGGTAATAGAAAAACTTA